GGCTCCCGGCCGCGCGGCCGCGCCGCCCCAACGCAGACGCAGGCTCTCCGAAGGAGGTGCCCTGCATCGGTTTCGGCTTCGGCGACTGCGTCATCGCGGAACTGCTGAAGGAGAAGAAGGCGCGCGCGCGCGCTCTGGACAGCGTCGTTGCGGGGGTGGGTTGGCGACCGTGGACGCGACGCGACGGTCTGTCCAGGGGCTCCGAGGTCCCGGCGTGATGGCGATGCTGACTCGGTGGCGGTGATGGTGGCGGCGATGGTGACGGTGGTGGCGGTGGTGGTGATGCTGAGTCGGATGGTTGTTGTTGGTGATGCTGGTGGTGATGGTGATGCGGATGCTGGTGATGACGATGGTGGTGATGCTGGCGAGGATGGTCAGGACGATAATTACTGATGGTGGCGTTGATGGTGATGATGACGATGCTGCAGATGGTGACGATGATGGTGGTGACCATTATGATGGTGCTGATGATGATGTGGTTGATGACGATGACGGTGGTGGGTGTGGGGATGATAACTATGATGCTGATCAGTATGATGATTACGATGATGAGCATTTCATGATTATAGGATTATTACTACGATGCCAGTGGTGACGATGATGCTGATGATGATGATGATGGTGCTGCTGATGCTGATGGTGATGATGATGATGACGATGTTGATTGTGATGCTGTTGACGCGGATGATGGTGATGATGATGATGATGACGATGATGATGTTGTTGATGATGAAACGGATGATGCTGATGATGTTGATGTTGATGTTGATGATGATGATGATGATGATGATGATGATGATGATGATGATGATGATGATGATGATGATGATGATGATGATGATGATGCTGATGCTGATGCTGATGATGCTGATGGAAGCGAGGACTAGGGCTCATGTGAATTTCTATGTGGAATGCGGATGTGTGTTATGATGATGCTGATGGTGATGATGGCGACGACGATGCTGACGGTGATGGCGACGATGAGGACAAGGGTGGTGATACTGTTTTTTTCCAGTGCGCTCGGCTTCGGCTTCGGCTACTACTCCCCCGCCCCCCCTCCATCCCTGACCCCCGTGCTGCAACACAGTCCGGCGCGCCGCCTCGTCCTTCTTTTCCTTCACTTCAAAGGGGCAGTGGCTGCAGGGATCCCCCCCCGCAGCGCTGCCAGGTCTGGCGGGGGGTAATTGCCGCGCGGCCCCTGACAGTCCCTGTGGAGTTCCTGCTGCTCGGTTGGAGCCCTGGGGTTGTGGAAGTCGACTAATGGAGAGGAAGCATGCTGCCAATTGGTTTCCAGGTGCCTAACAGATGTTTCACCTATGCCTTAGATATGTAAAGGACACGTTTGACACATGTTTAGAACATGCCACATTGTAGCCACACCGTAAGTTCAATGATAGGATTGTTAGAGTGTCCAATGTCATGGCATCCACAGCCCTGGGGGAGGGGGGATCCAGATTCGCCAGGACTGTCGTAGACCTTCGCACGCCCAATCGTCCCCAGTCGCTTCGAGCATCTCGTTCGGAGACCATGGGCTCTTCCGCCGCCGCCGCCGCCGCCCCCCCCTTCAAAATTACGCTACCGAGGAACCCCACATACTTCTATCGTGGTTGGGGTGATGATAGCTGAAGTGAAGCATGAGAGAATGATGTTGGTGGCCGTTGCCCCGCCGATACCGCAAGGACGACCGTCACGGATAGCCGCCCGGCTCAGGGACCACCCAGTGCGCACCCCTTGTGGTGTCGAGAAAACGCCACGCCTGCTGTGCCCTGGACGACCGTCACGGATAGCGGCCGCGCTCAGGGATCGCCTTGCACGAACCGAGACGGGGCTTCTGCTCGCCATGCTGGCCCTGGGGGCCACATCTCCACCTCCTCCCTCACTCCTCCACTTCTCCTTGTCCTCCTCCTCCTCCTCCCTTCTCCTCCCTCCTCTTCCCTAGGCCGCCGACCTGTAGCCAAACCTGTGAAAATCCTCCCTCCTTCCTCCTTCTCCTTCTGAACGTGTGTGACGGCTTTTGCATATTATTCAGTAGGGAAAGAAACACACATACACAATTAATCGTCGTCTCCCAGGAAAATCTTGGAAAATATGGGAAGTGGGGGAAAGACAAAAAGTTAGAAAATATGGGCACTCCTGTTATTGTGAATATATATATATATATATATATATATATATATATATATAGATAGATAGATTGTGTATGTGTGTCCTTGTGCCCCTTGAAATACTTGACCTTTTGGGCCTCTTGAGGCCTCCAGAGGCGTCCAGTCCGGGGACCCTTCGGGGAGCACTGGGGGTCTCTGGGGACCTCCAGGGTCGTCCTCCCCTCTCCCGTCGTCTTGCCCGGGATTGGAGCGGGCGGGGCTCCTTTCGGCTCCGTGCTGTCATGTAGATGGGCTGGTCGGGTCGAACGCGGTAGGCAGACACATGCAGGCGAAATGCAGTACAATCAAGGTGACAGAGGAGGGGCAGTGATGCGCCAGAGGCCTTCGATATGGCCGGGGCAGTAGCAGTGCCTGCCGGAAGTCCTGGGTCAGAGTGTCTCGTGTGCCTCCCCTCCGCCTACCCAGATGTCCTCTGGGCGTCGCTCGGACGTGTGCACTGATTCCAAGGGCTCCCACGAGGGCGCGAGGTTAGTCGCGCTTCGCGCTTCGCGGGCCTCATTCCTCCCCCTCCTCCTTGTCCTCCTCTTCTCCCCTTTGGGGGCGGCGCGAGAGCGCGAAGTGATTCGCGCTTCGCGCAGCTCGAAGCTCGAAGTAGGGAGCCCTAGGATTCCTCGGCGAGGACCCTCGAGGAGCATCCCAGAGCATCTGGCGAAAGATGCGCGCGCGGAGCGGGAAATTTGCACGAGGAGTGGACGTCCGAGCGATGGCAAAGCGGCGTTTTCGGTCCGCGGCGTCGGCGCTCCTGGACCGCTTCCAGCTCGGTTGCAAATCATGGGAGCCTTGTGTACCCTCGTAAATCTGCCTTGAGCGTCGACTAGCGTCGATTAGCGTCTGGGAGTCGATGAGAGAGCGCCGTTTTCGCATCGGCCAGCGTCGATTGGCGTCGATGCAGCGCCACTTAGCATGATTTGGCGTCGATGAGAGTCGATTCGCAAGGGCCGACAAGACGATATGGGAGGCTCCCGTGAGCTGCCACCGAAGCTTCCATTCTAGCAGTGGCGAAGCGTCCCGGCTCGCCTATAGCCTTACCAAACAATGTTCTAAGAATTTCTTGTGGTGGCGGAGCCTGTCTTGTTTTATCACATCGGGTTTATGGTTTATGTTCTAAGAACCTTGTTTTTGCTATGAGAACATTTTTGGGTTCTGAGAACATTTCGTGGTATGACTATAGGAATGCCAGAACGGTCGGTCCCTGCTCAATCCATGGGGGCGGTTTTTCCGTTCTGAATATCCAGCAGTGTGCCGATGTTGGGCTCAGGACCGGCCTGCCCAGGATCGGTGCCTCGGCTGCGCCGAGGAGGGAGGAGGAGGAGGAGCAGGAGGGAGGAGGAGGAGGAGGAGGAGGAGGAGAAACAGGAGGAGGAGAAACAGGAGGAGAATGGAGGAGGAGAAGGGAGGAGAAGGGAGGAGAAGGGGGAGGCAGGAGGAGGAGGAGGAGGAGGAGGAAGTCGTCTTTTGGATGGCCTGGGGGCCCAGATATCACGGGCACCAGAGGCCCACGTCGAGGAATCATAACGCGGGCCTCGGCAGTCACATCGTCGGCGATGTGTCTCTCCCTCTCTCTCTCTCTCTCCAGACCTCCGGCGCCAGGGTTTTCTCGTGACGTGAGCCCCGCAGCACTGGACCCCTTTCGGCGGCGAGCGAGAGGGGGAAGCGAGAAGGGGCGGACTTCTCAGAAGGCTCGGAAGTCCCCCGACTCCCCGGCCTTCTGAGAAGTTGTCTGAACCTTCCCTGGAGGCACAGAAAACTTCTCTGAACGCGCGAGGGTTTCTGAGAAGTTCCGCCGCCTTCTGAGAAGGCCTTCTCCTTCTCACTTCCCCCCCTCGCTCGCCGCCGAACTGGCGCCCTCTTGGGACTCCCTTAGAGGATCTTGAGGTGCTCTTGGGGCCCTCCTCGGGGGCCCTAGAGGGTCTCTCGTGGCCATTCTGGAGGGAGAAAATAATCAGGGGACGATGTTTTGAGTATTTTTGGGCATGTTTTGGATTTTGTGTCGACTTTTTTTTCGCCCACAATCCGCCTGCAGGGGGACATGCCCGACCTAAGGGTATCGGCTCCTGCGGCGCCGTCCCCCCTCCTTGGGGCCCTCAAGGAATGAGGTGCAGTAACTGACTCAAGACATGGACGATTTTTGCTGTTATGCGAGGCCCACCACTCTGCTATGATGGGATGTGGCCTCGGTGCTAAGCGCTCTCCGTGCTGCAAGATATCAGAGCCGAAGTTACAATGGAACGGATTGGACATCAAGTTCGCCAAAGTTGTAACAATTCGGTGGCGTTGGGCTGGAACACAACGGCCTGGTGCTGAAGACCAGACTAGACCGAATTCTCCTACCTACCCCTAGCACCTCCAAAATATTTGAATCAAGCACATGTCATCAGCATCATCTTGCTGATACTTCGTGAGGGTGCGGGCCAAATGGCGACCCCCCAGCATCCAAGAGATTTGTGGACACATCGTCAATGGAAGCTTGAGGTGGTCATCCGGTCTCCACCGATCGAAAGCACGTTTGACCGCCCTGGGAATGCGGGCAAAAGACCAATCAAACCTATACGGAACGGTTAGCCTGCTAGGTGGAACCCGCGAGCGAGGGCGGGCGAGAGTCATAGACGGCGTCTTCGGATAATCTTGCAGATGTACGTGACCTGGGCACGCCTTCCGAAGACGGCCCCTGAACGCAGCCACGTGCGAATCGGCAGTGCGGCGGTACGTGCATCAATGTCGCAATTTGGATTCAAAACCTTTCGGCCAGGATGCGTGTACGTGCGGTGGGTGAGCCAAGGAGTCACACAGCGGTACCCAAACGGAAGTGGGTTTCACATGCACCGCGTGCTCCACGGCTACATTGTCACCTCTGACACAACACCGCAGACTGAGATCCCACATGATCGTGCGAAGAGGGTAGATGCAACCGATAGTTAGATCAAAGCAACGGCTCAGAGCCTGCATGCGTTGCAACATCTCGTGGAGTAGGTCTGGTTTGGAACTAATGCACATAATGTCGTCGCGATAGCGGCCGTAGAACACAATGCCGTACTCGCGCTTGATGTCTGAGCGGAGCACGAAGGGTTTCTCGACCGTACTATAAAACACGAGATCCGAGACTTCGCTGCTGCTGCACAAGCCCATGCTGGTACCCCGAAGGACCCTGTACACGAACGGGTGTGCGTCAAAGTCAGCAGACAGACAGACACATTGGTTACGGACAATGCTGGACAACATGGCTCTGAATTGCTCTCGGTCCTCAGCAATATGCCTCGTGCACTCGTTGACGAGAAGGCCATGTTCACCTGACATGTGAAAGTCTTTGATGCCAAGTTTGCAGAACACGCAGTCCTGAGGCAAAGCAAGGGCCGACAGCTGACGCTGCAGCTGTTCTGTATTTGTTAACAAGTGCGGCATACATTGAAGAACATGTCTGAAACTCCACGCTACCCAGCGCATGCCAGGAAGCATGGGATGCCGCGAACTACAATGAAGCGCTCTGCAGGTGACTTGCCCAACAGGCTTGTGAGTTTTCACTGTCAGGGCAAGCACAGAAAACAGCCGCGTGGGACGATGATCATGCAAAAGGACCTTCGCCAGGTCTTCGTTGTCGAAGCCCTGGGCGGCCTCACAATATTCAGTCATCGCCTCCACCGCACATTTCTCGCGCCATGCTACGTGAGAGTCAGAATCAGAAGCCAGAACTCTGAGTTTCTCTTTATGGATGGCGGCCTCCGGTAGCACGGCAAAACCGCTGTCCTTGTCGGTGATGCAAGCGCCGACTGGTGAGCTACGGAGCCAATCCAGTGCCAATTCGGCAACCCCGTTCAAATTGGAGGGGCGGCCGAGGGATGAAACCCGATGCCTTGCACGCCTGCGCTCCTCAAACATTTCGTGTTTAGCGTCAGAGATGAAACTCTCGACAGCAAGATTGAAAGTCATCGAGCACGGGTGCGGCACTCGGCGCCTAGAGCGCAGAAAATGCCATTGGCTGGAGTCAGAATCAGACATTACAGTGCGCCAGCGGAGACTGTGCTCCCAGATGTACAAGCTCGAGCCGATGTCCCTCAGTGGCGGGAATCGGCTGCTAGAAAACACATGTTTCGTATGATACCGCCTCAACAAGAATTCCAAGGGCCAGGCATTGGTTCCAGCGGGGGGCGTGCAGGCGACCCTCTGGGTCAAGTCCGCCACATACCGCCCCAGCTTGCCGCGCCCTGTGTCGAACAGGACGTCGAGGTCAGCAGGTGACATCGCGCGGCACAGGGTGAGGAACTTCATTGCCACCACGTCTGCCAGCTGCCGTTCCCCCGAACTTTTCCGCCGCCTTCCGTTCTGTCACGCCCTCTGCCTGCCTTGCCTTTGGATTTGCCTTTGGCTTTGCCTGTGCTCGAGGCTTTCCCCTTGTCTTTGCCTTTGCTCGAGTCCTTGCCGGGCGGCTGCGAGGGAGTCGAGGGCGACTTGCCTTTGCCTTTGCCGATGGCCTTGCCCTTTCCGATTGTCTTGTTGTTTTCTTTGGCTTTGCCTTTGCCACCCCCCGTGCCCCCGCTCGAGGCTGGGCCCAGGGATTTTTTCTGCAATGACGTTTGCCAGGTCGCTGGGCTGAATGTTGTCACCTTTCTGGAGCTGCCAGATGGACGCCTCCAGGTGGGCATTGGCGCCTGAAGCGCTCGAGGATCCATCCGTTCGCTTCCTCAGGGCCTCTCTCAGCTTCAAGTCGATGGCAGTGCCCAGGTGGTCGGCCGGTTTCTTCTCCAAGAGGGCCGTGGCCACCTTGAGATTCCTGTTCTCCGCTTGTTTCCGCTTCTCCTCCTCCATCTTCTTGACCTTCACAGCTCGGTCCACGAGCTTCGTGTAAATGGCCTCGCCCTTCGCGCGCAGGGAGTTCTCCGAGACGCCGTGCGGGCCGTCGCCGACCTCCAGGTCCAAGTCCAGGGTGTTCCAGCCGCCATCGACGGAGGTCCTCTCCGCCAGCAGGCGGTCGAGAAGGTTGTCTTTCCTCGTGTATGGCCAGGGGCGCGTCCGCTGCTCCTCCACGACGCGCAGGTCCAGCTCCCTGCACTCCTCCAGGTAGAAGATGTGGAGCTTGCGCTTGGCGTCGCGGATTGTGCACCCGCTGTCGAAATGGATGTCGTAGTTCAAGTCCTGGAGCGTGACCGTGTCCAGGAGGTCGGTCTCGAACCCGAAGTTCGCCGGCTTCACGGCGGCTGGGATCGTGCCGCCACGCAGGGACTGCAGCTCAGCCTCGAGCTTGGTCTTGCGGGCGCTGGTGCGCTGGAGGCTCTCGATTTTGGCGGCCAGGGTCGCGCTGGCCTTTTTGATGGAGGGCTTCAGGTCAGAATCCATGTAATCCTTAAGCTCCTTCTCGATGAGGTCGCTGAGGTTGTTATTGCCCGCGCGTACGGCTCCCGCTTGGGGCTCGCTCGGCATCAGGGCGGAGGCAGGGACCAGCCTGCCAGGTGGCTCGGCCGGCGGCGGCGACCGCGAGCGGTCACCCGCCCCTCCTTCTCCCGGGCGCGCGGCCGCAGGTGGGCCCCCTCTGCGCCATCATGGACACCCTCTGCGCCCAGCAGCTGTCGCCTGCCGGGGCGCTGAGTCCCCGAAGGTTCTCTCAGGGATGCCTGGTCAGCCATGCCGAATCAGTACTGGACGTAAAAATATGAAACGTGCAAGGAACGAGGAGCGGTAGCTGACTCAAGACTTCGACGATTGTTGTTGTTATGCGCGGCCCACCACTCTGCGATGACGGGATGTGGCCTCGGTGCTAGGCGCTCTCCGTGCTGCAAGACATCAGAGTCGAAGTTGCAATGGAACGGGTTGGAAAGCGCCAAACTTGTAACAATTCGGCGGCTCTGGGCTGGAACACAGCGGCCTGGTGCCGAAGACCAGACCAGACTAGACTAGACCAGACTAGACTAGACTAGACTAGGATCTTGAGGTCCTCTTGGGGCTCTCCGGCGAGGTCTTGGGGCCCCCTTGAGATCCTTTTGGTGCTCTTTTGGGGCCCTCCTTGAGGGCCCTGGAGGATCTCTTGTGGCCCTTCTGGAGGGAGAGAATCGTCTGGGCACGATGTTTTGAGCATTTCTTGGCATTGTTTGAGAACTCTTTGCTTGACTACATTTCTCTCCTTTTTCTCGCCCGAACTCCGCCTGCAAGGGGACATGCCCGCTTCCTCCTCCTCCTCCTCCTCCTCCTCTTCCTGCTCCTGCTCCTCCTCCCATCCTCCTCCTCCTCCTCCTCCTCCTCCGCTCCTCCTCCTCCTACTCCTCCTCCCTCCTCCTCCTCCTCCGTCTCCTCCTCCTCCTCCTCCTCCTCCTCCTCCCTCCTCCTCCTCCTCCTCCTTTCTCCTCCTCCTTCCTCCTCCTCGTCTCCTCCTCCTCCTCGTCCTCCTCCTCCTTCTCCTCCTCCTCCTCCTCCTCCCTCCTCCTCCTCCCCGCTCTCTTCCCCCCCCCCCCCCCCGGCCGTCTCTGGATCAAGCAGCGGCGAGGCGTCCTGGCTCGCCTAGAGGCTCACGATGTTCCACCTTGCTTCTGCCTTGATCACTGGGAGGGGACTTCGAGCGCCGAGAAGTACCGAAATGGGGGGGGGGTCACGTGTCGGGCCCTGGGAGGCACTCGTCCGACCCTGCTTCGACACTCTCTCGACCTCCTTTCTTCCGGGTGCTCGAAATTATTTCTGGGATGTGGTCCTTAAGTACGATGGAAACTACATAACTATAGGCCTACCAAACAGTGTTCTAAGAGCCTTTTTGTGGTTTGCACGAAATGTTCTTAGACCATGTCTGGCGGGGACTGTCCTGCTTTCACACATCGGGCTCCGGTTATGAGAGCATTGTTTTGGTTATTGGAACATCTTGGGGGGTTCGAGAACATGTCGTCGTAGGGCTATAGACATGACGGGGCGGTCGGTACGTCCCTGCTCCTCCCCCCGGCCCGTCTCTCTGGACGGCCCGGCGGCCCCGGAGAAGGCGCTCCGGGGGCCCAGGCTGAGGCAGCACCGGCCGTGCGGCGACGTCCTCCCCGGAGGAACAAAAAACCGCACCACACGAACATAATCTTTTTGTGGCGCTCCGCGTGGGGTTTTTGGGCCGCGCTAGGCAATTGGGCTCTCGCGCGGCCCGCTTGGACTTTACTCGCCGCTGGCGCTCTCGCCTGCGGCTGCTAACAAACAACGTGGGTTTCTTGGATTCGCGCTGGACCCCAGTCCCTGGCGCGCGGGGCGCGCCAGGGGCGGCGCCGGCGGCACCGCTGGGGGGCCCAGGCGCGGATCCAAGAAATCCGCGCGGAGCGCCAGAAGTTTATGTTTATATGTTTGTCTTCTTATATTCCTTGCGCGGGGTGTATGTTTCCAGGCCTCCCAGGTGGGGTCGGAGCAGATGGGGTCGGAGGATCGCACCGCATCGCCGATGCATCGGCGATGCGGCTCGATGCGACGCCCGATTTGCTTCACGTCGACGTCGCCGCTGCATCGCCCACGTCGCCGATGCGTCGCCAGGGCATCCTCGATTCGGCGGTGCGGCGCCATCCTCCAACCCCATTTACACCGACCCCATCTAGGAGGCCTCTAGTGTATGTTTCCTCCCCTTCCTCCTCGGGCCCTCAGGCATCAAGCGTCTTGCACGAATCAGGGCGGAGGTGTTTCGTCGGTATTCTGCCAGTGGGGGCCCTCGCCTGGCCCTGAGACTGTCAAACAACCCGGGAGAAGGTTCGGGACTTCGGGGGGCCTCGCATTGGAGAACATGCCTCCGTCGGGCAAACGAAGCGCACCCCCACGACCACCTGGCCCCACTCCCTCTGAAGCTGTGCCAGGGAGCTTCGGAAGGCTGCTTGTCAGGCTGCTGCGTGAACGCAGCGCGAAAAGTATACATACCTCCCACGAGCACCCCGCCCCTCTGGGGAGAGGTGTATGTGTGTGTGCTCTTTGCTCCCCTGCTCCAGGTGCAGCCGTCGCTTCCAGCGACTGTTGATCCAGGATGCCTTCCGGCGTTCCGTCGAGCCTGCCCCAGCGGCGCCGTGCCTTACCCCTTCTGCTGTTGATGGTCCCATCCCTCCTCGTCCTGATTCCATTTCTCTTTTCCATGCGTCTCTCCATATACTTGATCTCCCTTGACCTCATCCTCCTTGTCCTCTCTTTTGGTAGCAACTCATGGGAGCCTTGTGTACCCTCGTAGCTCTGTCGTTCGAGCGCGCTAGCGTCGATCAGCGCCTGGCGATCGATGAATGGTGCCGATGTAGCGCCGATGATCGTCGATTCAGCGCCGATTCCGCGCCGATTCCGCGCCGATCAGCGCCGATGAGCGTCGATTGGTGTCGATTCAGCGTCCACGAGTGCCGATTCAGCGTCGATTTGGCGTCGAGGAGCGCCGAGGAGCGCGGGCTCGAGACGGTGTCTTGGCATCGCTCGGACGTGTGCATTTCTCCTGCGGCGAGGACCATCGAGGAGCATCCTTGATCAGTTGGCGAAAAGACCACGCGCGACACCGAAAAAAACACAGGGGAGTGGACGTCCGAGCCAGGCCAGGCGTGGGAGGCTTCCGCGAGCTGCCGCAGAGCTCTCTCCCCGCTCGTCCCGCCGCCTCGCGTGCGCGCTCGTCCCTCTCTCTCCCGCTCTCCCGCCTCGCGTGCCCGCCGCCTCTCCCCGCTCTCCCGCCTCGCGTCCCGCCGCAGGGCTCTCTCCCCGCTCGTGCCGCTCTCCCCGCTGCCCGCTGGCCTTCCTGCCCCCGTCTGCCGCCC